AAAAGTGCTTCTTTTTGATCATCGCTTCTGTTCGAAAAATGGCGGTTTTTGATTCATTCGAATAAAAAAAATATTTTTTGAGGGCACTGAGACATTATTTAGTTCAAATGAAGACCATATGACCCAACTTTTATAAAGAAAAAATGTTTTTTGAAATATTGGGAGAATGTTAGAATGGATTTTAAAAGTACTCGCTGTGAATTGTGAAATTCACGAGTTTCTTCTATTCACACTTCGAGAGTGAGTCACAAGAGTCCATCTGCTCTGAGCAAGTGTTGAATTCTTGAGTGTCTTAGTACAAAAACCACAGGAAATGTTTACTTGGTCGATGGAATCAATTGTCTTTTTAGTTGATTCACTAATATTTTTTTAACATTTTTGGGCTCTTTGTAAAATATTGTAGCATTCATAGCTTTTGCGCAAAAATGATTCTGTTTCCTTGTTTTTTAGCAATTTCAGGTAACTGCAAACGTTCGTAGTAATCGATAATGTTTTTCCAACATGTTTTTGAACAGAACTTTGACCGACAGTAGCAGAAGAGCCAGACATTTTTTTGTGAATAAAACTTAGGTCAGATCGTTTACTTTTCAGCCCAATAATGTCGCAGGGCCCTTTTGATGTGCTTAAGAGATACCGTGTATACCAGAGCGAAAATCTGTACATATTTGGTTTTGGCATAATTTATTGCGCGTTTATAATGAAAGATCAAAATTAAGGACCGTTCGCTTTTTTAACACGCATAGAAATAATGAAACATTCATCTGAAACTAGTAAGAAAGTATTACAATTTCTGAATTAAATTTCATTCGCAGTAAACTAAATATTTGAGGAAAAAGGCGATTTACAGTGAAATACTTCGTGAAAAACGTATTTAATATGTGCATAGTTGGTTAAGTATATTTAAATATACAGTATTTGCTAGTTATCTTGTAATCCTTCAAGGAAACTTAAAATTTTTGAAAATTTAAACGCATTTTTCAATCACAATATGTCTGGTTGCCTGCTAGTTGCGCTCCTTTTTGCATTAACATGTTTCCCACTTTCTCAAAGTTCTTGAAATTAATCATTTATTCCAACGGAAATAAATATCACATCTAAGAACTCGAAAACACATTCAGTATTTTCAACACAGTTTTTACATATTTTACTGTAAATTTAAAAGCAGTTTCGCATGTTGTCGTAAGATGGCCGAATTGAATGGCCGTTCGTCCATCTCTGTCTGTTCGCCTTTCTGTTCCATTTTAAAATTCGTTTTCTCAGTAAACTGTGGCAACCAGCCATGTTGGGTAGTGTCGGTGAATCAAGTGTTTCTACGTAAAAACTCAATTTTTTTAGTGTTTGTGTTCTTTAGTGATCCCTGTGAATTTGGATTAACATGGCGACTCTAACGGAAAACGCAAATTGGGGCACAGAGCTATGGGTAAGTGCTAAAAACACTAAAACGTCTGAGTGAATGTAGGCAAATATTTCATAAACTACTTGTAAGTTTCCTTAGAAACTGCATAGTTTTTACTACTACTGCCTGCAGTCTGGTCGTACGAGTACCTCTTGTATGGGCAGAAAAAACCCGACTTGTCTGGAGATTGAAAAAGTTGGGTTCTGGTCAAATGGGTCGCTTTTCGGTCACAGGTTAACCGTCTGGGTTCCGAGCGGTCAAATCTTAAAACCTGTCCTCTAGAGATGACTAGCAAGTATTTTACCTGGTACAGGTGCATAATCACAGCAAAAAGTCTCCTTTTATTTGGATGGGCATTTTTATGTAAATGTAATTTTTTTGAGTCCAGAACGTAGTCCAGACTCAGCAACATGAGACTGCATTCATTTATCTGCTGTTATCAAAAATATACGACTTAAGTCGCAGGTATTTTATTGTTGTGACAACTCTCATAATTACCGCTTGATTATTTGGACAATTAATCATTAATTGAGTGCATTTTATACGTTCTGGCTAGGAAAGGTTTGCACCCAACCCCATATCTATGGTACGGTACCTAATTCTTAAAGCTACGGGCTACGGGCCCCGAATGGTGGTTTTTCTTGATAAAGCGGTTCTTCGGTCACCTAAATAAACAAAACTAAAAAAAACATTTGCGCTAAAACCGCTGAGCCCATGTAAACAAACAAGTAACAACATCCCATCCAATCAGTGGTACATGATCATTTTGTCGTTTCTTATCACTAAATTCGTTATCAGTATTATCATACTTACACAGTTTCTTACTCAAATTTCATACCGCTATTTCCACAAACAAGTGAGGAAATTATTGATTGTTGCCAGTAAAATAGTAGCTTTCCATTACATGACTCAGATATCAATGCTTTATGAATCACAAGGAAATATCGTCGTCTAAAATCCAATTACCTTTTACATCTTCCCCAATTTTATTGGTTCTGGATGAGTCATCCCGCAGCAAGGAGTGAATCTCAACCCCTGGCAACCCCTAAGGTGCGGGATGCATTTTTCAAGAGATTGGTGTTGAGGATTTCGGTTTTATTTGAATTTGTTCTTTAGAGGACGTTGTTTGTTTTCTAAACAACTTTCCAACATCAAACCACACACTTTTAAAGCGCATAAGTAATGTTTTTAAATGATTGTGTTAGAATAAGACTATAATCAAAATGCTTTTAATATTATCAATATAAGTTCAGCCATATACATTGTGGACCACAGTGTACCACAAAGCCATATTGCTTAAGCAGCATAATTTGTTGTTTATCGCGAGATCAACCTTTTTAGTCGTCGTCAAATCGCTGCTGATACAGAATCGTTCTCGTGTTCGGAAATGTACTTTTGTACTGTGTTGTTCTTTATCATTTATCAATATACTTTTATTCATACATTAAGAGTGTGTCCACTTTATTTCACCAACAGATTGGTGCTATTTGTTTCCCCTTAAAACAGGGTGTTTATGAAACTCATTTTGTTTTAAGTTCACCGGGAATCAACCAACCAACCAACCAAACATTTTTACACCCTGTACGATAAAGTCACAATAAAACTATTTTTGGATAACTCGAAACTTAAACTAAAAAAGGCAGGTACTCGCGTTTATCATCGATAAAAAAAGCATTGTCTTCCATCGGAAAATGTAAATATATAGACGCATCTGTATAATTAGAGGTTAAAACCACGTTTACCATTATCATTTGATAAATTCACACAAAATACACTGAAATCAATTCCTGTGTTAATGTTTCATTCGTACAATTCAATTTTTGCGAATGCCATTGAGTGCATTTTCGTAAATTTGAATTGATTGAAATCTTGTGTCTTCTTTAGATAAACGAATTTTAAAATTACTCCTTTAAATCATCCCTTAAATTTAAATTATTATGAACCGGCATATCCTTAATTCTATCTCGATAAACGAAACCAAGTTGAAATTAGGAAGTGGTAAAGGCCACTTAATTATAAAATTCGCTAATCTGATTGGTTTAGATCATTTATCTGGTTTAATGCTCAAGAGGGACTGAGCACATGGGTTTTTACATTTTTATTGCTTGATTATTATAATTTTGTTGAAGTGGCTTACGGATAGAAGTTAAAGTGTAATTTTTTAAATTAATAATATTAAATAGATTGAATGCAAATCCGTATGTTTATTTGTTGTATTTCAATTTGCAAAAATCCTTATCAAATGTTGTGCTTTTGTGTTGTGTATCAAACACAGACTATTTAAAAAAAAAACTACTGATTAATAATATTTATTCTTGCAAATTGCTATTTTGAGGAAGAACAACCAAGATATGATTGTAATAAAACAAAAACAAACATGATGTTTTTCTTTTTATAGCAATAGTCTTATGAAATTCGACACAAAGCAAAGCTTTTTGTTTATTTGTCAAAACCCTGTTGTACGAGGATCACTATTGCTAAATAATCAAGTTTGGTGCATTGTTGTTTCAGGATACTTGAAATTAAATACAGCTTTACATTTTAGCAGATAAGTAAACCGTCTTATGGCACTTTTCGTGGGCTAATCTTTAAAAGATTGGTGTTGCGTGGTTTAATTTATTGATAATTTTGCATTAACGCGTACGAGCCAGAAGTAAAAAAGAAGTTTAAAAGTGGTTTTTGGTTTCGGTCAGCTCAAAGTGTTGAGAAACAAGAAAAATCAGAAAAATAGTTATCTACACTAATACTAATAAGTTATCACATAATTATTCCTCAAGAAAAGTGGTTTTAAAAAGTAAGTAAATAAAAGACTAGTCTTATGATTACATTTCACAGAGCTCTTCAAAATGAGAATGCGTTTCTCTTCAAAATGGGACCACAAGAAAATATGAGCTTCTGATTTCCATTTAAGAATTTGTCAACAAATTTTATTGCATTTATTGAACAATTATGCACGTATTTTCCATTTTTGGTTTCATACTTTATTTAGTGGAGTTGCCATGTTCCTATGCAAATATTGCAAACTGAGTTTTTAGGATTTATTTATAAATTATGCACTTCTTGAACGGTGCTAAAAGCACAATATATAAATCTGGTTTCCGAAAATAACTGAGAAAATTGGGATCGGGTCAGTGCTATAAAGCGGCTGATTGTTGATGTAACGAAAATATATCGAAGATGTTAATTTAATTAATTTTGACACCGTGTAGATGTTTACAATTTCCTTGTGACCACCCTGAATATCAATGTTAATCTATTAGGCCAACAAGTCATGTTGTACACATATATGGAAAAAGAAATCACGGTTGGGAGAGAAAACCACATCGTAGTTCTAGGTAACAGTTTTTACCCGCGTGGAAAAACAAAATTCAAGGTTGTTTGGTTCGTGGTTTACTAATGTCCGATTTATTCATTGTATAAGGAATCTAAAGGATTTTTTTTAATCCTACTTATTAACTTATTATCATTGTTTCTGTTCTTTTGCATACACGTTTAGCGCTGTTGGTTAATTCTGTTAATGAAATCCGGAAAAATGACTTCATATTACCAGTTAACGTTAGTCATTGCACGTTCACCAAGGCGAATCGTTGATAATAATGATCCGCAATTCGCAATCAACTGCAGATAAAGAGTGCATCTGCAAGATGTGCAATAAAGCAATGAACAGAGAAGCTTCATTTTTTTTGTAAAGAAATGTGCCATTAGTCTATTGACACATTTCTAAGTATGTGGTATGTAGCAAATTCAAAGTATGTAGCAAATGAATCAAATCGGGGTCATAAAAAACTAATAAGATGGTTTTGTGGTCACTGTAAAACCTGCCTGAAGAATGTTCGCAAGCCTTACAGAGTTTAAGCAGAAATATGCAACCAAATTCAATAACAAATTTACATAGATAAATTAGACAATTTATTTTTATTCTACTTATAAGTCGAAATTATGTCTAGGTATATTGAGTCAAAGTTGGTAGTGAAAAAGCCGTTCAGTGCAAAATAAAAAGAAGAAATCAAACTGGTTGAGAAGTACGATATTAGTAGGTAATAAGCGATTTAAAGAAGGATTCTCTCTCATTCTTTAAATCATTCTTCTCTCAATTTGCCTTAATAAGATAAGTAATAAACAGCCAAACAGGTCATTTATACTTACATTCTTTACCATTTCTACACTGTGGAAACCTATTAAAGCCACAATCATATCGGAATGATAAAGTGATTTACGGTTTTTAGATTTACCTTTCAGCTATATTTTACTTTTATTAAGTAACTGTAAACCGTACCCAGTGCACCATGAGATAGTCTTAATCACTCAATTTGAGTTTACAAGATTAGGCTTATATTTTCTTCATTTCCTCGGAAATTCGACAATTTTTCAAAGCATTTACAAAATTGCAGGAAGAAAGTACTTAAGAAAAATTATTGTTATTTCAATGTCTTCTGTTAATGTTTTGTTATTACCGAAACTCGTTATGGATAAATCAACAAACCCCAAAAACTACATTAAACATACTTTGTAAATATTGTAGTAAAAATATATTTCGGCGGTTCAGGTCAACGATATTTGTCATGATTCACTGCCCCTGATATAAAAGGGTCCGCTTTTTAGAGGGGTGAAATCGCACACCTACTTCCTGTGATACTTCCAAGTTTTTTTATTTATAGTACACATTCACCGGGGAAGTGCAATATGGCACAGGTTTCTTTCATAAAGCCGCCAATTCAATTTAGTTAAATGATAAAGCAACTTTACTTCGTTACTTGACTTGCAGGAATTTGAACAATATTAAAAATATTAGATCAATTAATCATCATTTGAAGACGATTTGGTTAGACTTTTTGATGTCAAGTCCCATGTATATGATTCAAATCTGACGCAAATTGAAACCAACTACATAAGATAATATACTGAAGTGTGCCTTCCTTTGGTGTTATTATGTATAAATTATTCAGGCTGCTTTCATGTAATACCTATTTTAATGAAACGCTCTTTTTCGATTGTTTGCGACACTGCTCATTTCCTGTGTATTACTCTAAACTCTATGCGTTCAAAATTATGATTTTTTAAATTTTAATTTATTTTATGGAAACTATGAAAGCAAATTGCACAACATTTAATGGTATGCAGTGACGAACTGAAGTGCCAAGTTCAAAACAAATAAATGCTAAATACATGTTTACGGCCATCAGTTACTGGTTGAAAATCATTAGTAATCAAGCCGAGATGCTCAAATAATACAGACTATTTAAACGTATTTATTATTTACGGAGAAACTAGTATGATAATTAGGAGATTAAGTAAAAAATATATAGTTTTGATGTTTTTCTCAATATCGCTTTTAAACTTCATTTGTGGGCAATATTCTCGAAATATTATTGAAAGTCCTTGAAAGTAGACACTTTTCACCAAGGATCGGAGTCAAATTAATTTAAAAATGCTTTCTGATGTGAATAAAATTATTATTCTGGTGTTCTAATTATTCAGTAGCTGGAATTTTTGTCGGAAAATTTTATTCTTAATTAAATATCTCAAAAACAGTTAAACCAATTATAAATACAAGACAAATTTATTTTTAGTATAATTGAAAACTGCGTCAATGTACAGGGATGTAACATTTAAAATTGATATGATTTTTTAAATTGTTGGTTGGTCGTGGGAATGACAGGTGTAACTAATTCTAAAAGAACATTTGCAAGTTAAGCCCAGCTAATAGGTTCGAAACCGTTTCTAGGAATGACCTGTACTTGATGTATCAAGACAAATAATTAATTTCGAAATCATAAACAAAAATATCATGTTTTAATTGGAATTATCGCTGTTCCGGTGCATGGCATATAAAAATAAAAGATTTCAACAAAGGTCAACAGTTGCTTGTCTACTCAGGAAGTGTCTTGTTGCACTTTGCTTCGTTATTCATTCCATCGTTCTACGAAATTAATGCAAAAGCTATAATAATCGTGATACTAGCTTAGATAGGCACAAAGAAGGCAACTGCAATACCCGTTTTATTTATTAATGAGAATTAATTGAAGCTCGTTGGTTGCAGTATATAACTAGATTGGACTCTCCTAGGACAGGCCGAATGAAAAAATTCCAGTCCAGACTCAATATTTAAAATATGCTTTATGAGATCTCACTTTGCACATCCTTTTGGAAAATCTCGCATCACTATTACCACCAAAGATAATACACAGATTTGATGGTTTTATAAATATTTTTTTCATCAATGAACGCAAACACATTAGTATGCAATGAATCACTAGTTTACCAAGAACGTGTTAAACAAGGATTTAATTTTTAAACATTTTTATCAACTGATACATATGTTGAATGAATCAGTAAGCCAAGGCAATTGGAAATCGTAATCAAATTACCGGGGATTAATTTCATCTAATATTTATTAATGCTTTGGAGGTTTATATTTCCGGTAAAATCGGAAACGGTGTATATCCTGTAGTATTTTAATCGTTTATAATTGAGTTTTTGTTTTGAGTAATCTAGCAAATGTGGCAAGGAAAAATTAAAACTACATACTGTTATACAAAATTATATTATGTATCAACATGTATTAGCGGGCTGTCTGTACAATGTACCTACGTGTTATGAAACAGTTTTCTTCTGGGACTAAAGTGGAACTGGTTCTATAAGCAAAAATGAATTTTAGAAATGTGTTTTAATAATCAATATTGCCAATTTAATAGTTTCTGGTATGCCAAATTGCACTATTCCATGATAATACTGTAACCATACGTGCTCATTTATCAATTATTTAAATGCATTCAATTAATTTCTATGTGAAATGAATTATTGACGTCCGCAAGGCACTACTTTGTTATGAAATAAACTTACATATATCGCCTTCCTTTGGCTTTTCTTCTGAAGATTTTCTCTTAATTAGCAAGTGCATGTGATTGCCTTCTTTTAAAATATGCAAACCATTTTAATTAGGTATGTTCGTATACATACATGACTTGTTACCTGGCCATGAATGTAGATTTTGTTGAAATCTGAAAAGAAGTTCTTGAATTTCAGATTACTAACCTCGGTTGGCCTTGAGGGGCCCAGATATTCACAAAAATAGACATACAACTTTTAACTCGAAACTGACTCTTGAGTAGATGCTCAACAAAAACCGGGTTTGCGATTATACAAGGAACGTGGGCTGTAGAGTTATGGCCCAGATGGTGAGATGACTAAATACATTTTTTTCTTTCACCTTTAGACTAACCAATACTGTTTGCTTTGCTCAGATGCCATTTACAGTCACGAAATGAACGTAGGTTTAGTAGTTTAAACGAAACTCGATATTTACAACCATTCGTTACGCTACTTTTACGAAAGAAAAAATGCACTGGTTCAAGTTCTTCGACATCTGAACAGTGCCTGCTGTCGTTTAACACTTGTCAGGACGGTAAAGAATAAAACATACGGACTCTAGTGATAAATATTAGCCATAGAAGTTCCCATAAACATGCTTTCGCTTTCTGTAAAGGACTACTTCCAGTTTTTGTTATCTAGTTGGTGAAACTGTTTGGTTGCAACCTAGAACTAGTGATTTGTCGAACTACTGTATTTTCAATCAAAGATCAAAGAAACCGGGTTCATCTGCTTTGGGCAAGTGAGGAATTCTAGAGGGTCTTAGTACAAAAACGACCATAACTTTTTATTTGGTTGCTGAAATCGATTTCTTACATTTTAACATTTTTGTAAAATCTTGTAGTATTTATAGTTTTTGCGCAAAAAAAATGTTTCTGCTCTCTTGCCAACTGACAATTTTAGGCATTCATTACCTTTTTGTATTAACAAAACTTAAATTAACTTTTTTGTAATGTCGAGAAAGCGCTCACATGGATTTTAATGCAACTTGCTGTGGATTTGTTCCTACGTCAGGGCCATATTTTGCTAAAAGCTCACTTCTTTTCTTCGTGAGATTTCTAATGAATGCGGAGGAAAACGCTTCCAAAAGATGGCCAGGCGTAAGGCTTTTACTAGGTCGGTCAGTTAAAAATTATAAAACTGTTGACACTTAATTAATTATAAAAGAACATTATGCTAAATACGAAGTTTGCAGTTAATGGCTGAAATTTTTAAATAGCAAGGAAATAGAAATCATTAAAGCAGCTCGTATCAACCAGTAAACATCATTTTTTTCTTTGGACCCATTTTATGGGGGTATACATCAAGATATTATCCTCGAACCTAATAAAAGTGTAGTGATCTCTATAAATAGCCCGGTTGTTTTGTTGTTTATTTTCCGTTGAGAAAAGCCAGTCGGCCACTTGGCTAAATAGTTACGACTTGCCAGCAGTAAGTATATAGGGTGATATGTGGATGATGATTATTCCGAGGGAGTGTGTTGAATAAAGCATAATCGGTACAGCTTAATCAAGAATAAACTGAACATTTTTACGATATTAAATAACGTCGGCATACTTGCGTAATGTCTTAGATACTGTACGGATATAACATGCACACCAAGACGACGAGTTCTCGAGGGATTCAATTAGGTTTATTAAATCATCAAGAGTTGAGGGGCAATATACTGCTTCTAGTTTTGAAATTTGAATATTTTATATTCAAAAAACTTTTACAAGCGTTCATTTGTCGAACGCCAAATGTAAGAAAAGTGCCTTTATTGAAATATTTAGCGGTACCAAACTTCTATTCTGTAACACTGAATCGTTTTGAAATAACGGTTAACAGCAAATTTAAACAAACAAACAAAGGAATGTTTTCTTAATTTTCCTTGAACACTCAAGTGACCCAAAATAACACTTTCAAGAGAAGGGCTGTAATTTTGAGTGACCCTGTGGATAACCTAAGATTGGCCTTTAATCATCATCAATAACATTATTATTCCAATTATTGACTTCTACGCGACTTTAGTAAGGACCCATATCAATTAAATATGTATCCCACACTATTAAAATAACATTCTGAATGAATTCCTTATCAAAATAATCGTTTATTTGTGAAAATTTGAATGAAGTTATTGTTTTCTCTATCTGTATGTATTATTTAACTTTTTGCTTTAATACAAACAACTGTCGATTTCTTCAAGAAAGAAAGTCAAGAATGCTGAGCCACTAATTATCGCTAGTCGTATTCTTCGGGCGAAAGGCACCATCGACTTTCGTAAAGAAAATACATCACAAATACTAACACAATTCATGCACTGAGTAATTAAAGAAGACATCCGTCCGATAAATCATCGAGGCCAACGTAATAAAACCTTATTGGAAATTGCATTGTTTTAAGTCTCGATTTCAGCTGGGGAGTTATTTACCAACAAACAAATCTATGTTAACCGCACGTCGTATGAAATCCAATTAATTTGTTTCACCTTGTCCGATAGCCTATAAGTCCACTAACCGGTAATACCTAAATTATTACACGACTTAAAACGTATATGAAATACCAATGCGATTTTTCTTACCGGCTTTAGCAGCGGTTACAAGCTACGATTGTTGAATATTTAAGCAATTGAATTGTTAGGCGAAAACGTAACTATGTTGTTATCGGTCTGCATGTAATATGGCCATTAATTAAATTGTAATTAAAGTCGCTTTTATTTAATCGAATAACAAATTGAAAAAAGGCTGTAGGGTTATCATAGGCAAATATTATGTCATTCTAGGCGAAATATTTTCATTCCTGGCGTGTCTCTATTATTATGCAATGTAATAGAATTGCCTTATTTCCTCGACAGCGCCCATTAGTGTATGGATATCCGCAGGTATGCCATCTGGCACGCTTCTCTTTATATTTTTAGATAGTTCAATGGTGCGCGCTTTGGTTCATCAAGTCATTCATCGATTTTATAGATAACTTATTTGGGGAAACGGTTTGACATAGAACAGTATTGTTTATGTTAATTGGACGGAAAAATAATTAAAATGCACATGCAAGAGTAATCGCCAATGCAGCTGCGTAGAAGACACACACATTATTGGTATATGGTGTTGCAAAATTTCGTGCTCAACAAATCGACAAACTTCAGTTAGTCAGTCACAATCAGGTTGAAAAATAATATTTTTGACTCCTGATTGAATTTAATTGTATGTTTAGAAGGTTTAAATGGGTTTTTACAAATAGAGTTTCTTCAATCCGATCTCTAAGTGAAGAGTTGGGAGACACATAATGTTAAACGTTTACTTTTTACAGTGCTGATATTTTAAGAGGCAAAAGCGCCTTATAATCACATTTTTGTTTAAAAAGTGTTGACACTTTTTCTTGTGAGCATTTACTAGATAAGTAATTAAATGAGTTTACGCGTTGAAATTTTTTATCCCGTTTTTATTTCCAGTAGAACAAACATGAATCGTCAAAATATAATAACAAAATAGCAGTTAGAAAATAGCATTAAAAAATTGAGTTAAGTATACTGCTCCAGTTTCGTACGATTTCTTTAACCTTTAATTAGAAATTTCCGAAATTCTGCATACATTTTACATTATGGCGTATTGAAATTCCGCTATTAATATTATTGTTTTGCGTTGTTATTTAAAAAACTATATTTTGAGTCATTTAATTGTTTTCAAATGATTAGAATCTTCAGTTATTTTGTTTTGCTTTTTAGCTTAAAGATGATACTTTTTGTATCTACACTGATCATTGTTTATTGTCATTGTATGTTCTATATTTTGTATTGTTCTACCATTTGCTTTGCCCATAACGTTTGGTTGAATATTTATGTGGCAATACAGCATGTAAAAGAATCAAATACGTACATTTATGCCAATTTTCTGATTTAGGTTTTGTGAGATTTTTTAAACTACTTTTTTGTACTGTAACTGCGGGGAACTAGACCAACTGTCTCTATAACTAGGCGTCTCCTTTCTCTATGACCATATTTATTGTTATTAAGCTTCATAATTCGATGGCCTTTGGCGGAAAGTGGTCTCATTTTTTAGCTGCATGTAAATTAGTCTGAAATACAATCTCGTAGGTCACATCCAAAAGCAGACAGAAAATCTATGAGGTCTTATAGTCTAGTTCATATGGTAAATATCTCTATAAAATCGCTTGAACTTTCTATAATTCTTGCTTCCTCCACGTTTCAACAAGTTCAAAAGCGCTTGAAGCGGAATTCTTGTGATTGCTCTGATCTTGTATCTACAGAATGCATACTAAATGTAAAAAAAACTATTTCGGATTTATCACGAAATAGTGGAATGTCGTTAACTAATGGTAAGAATGTAACGATGTTAGCTTGTCTAAAAATATTTCGTCCATATCAGGGAAAATTAAGCTAAGTTCAGAAAAATTGCTTTGTCCAACAGTGTGAACAATGGATTTGACAAACTAAGTAAGTAAAACTTGAAATATAATAGATAATAATAATAATACAAACACAGAGAATATAAAAGTAAATAATGGAATTCGTAACGCTATTGTATTAACGGCCCAAGGTCGTCTCAAAATTTCAATATTTAATTATAGGTAGACGCCCAGTAAAAATTGGCAGTTTTTTCGTCTTTCTTCTTCTACTATCACTGAATAGTTACTTAAAAAACAAAACTTTGAAGGAAATAAAATCTTCGAAAAATCTTATTTGTTTTAAAGCTCTACCCTGTCCAACAGAAACTTAAAATAATCCCAGCGGTTCTCTATCAGCTCACTCCACACATTCTTTTTTAAATGGAACTTTTAAATTTTTAATTTAAATTTTTTAAAATATGATCTTGCGTTGCGGATATTTGTTCTTCAATTTTCTAAACATTTTTTCATAGCATAGAAAAATAACTCTAAAAACGCGGAACAACTAATCAAAGAATGTATAGGCAATAGGCAAAGACAATAGGTACTATTTATGATTAGTACATTCATAGATCTTAAGGGAGCTGCCATTTTGAACAATATTCATTGAATTGTAAGTTACCTGGCCATGGAGAAAGGTTACCGATCAAATACGAACTTATTTGTTATCAAAAATAGCTATTTATGGAGAGAGATAAGATTTCTCACGAAAAATGTATGGGGTGATTGGAAATGCTGTAGAATCGCGGATGATTTAAATTTTCAATGATTGTTTAAAAATACTACAAGTAGACCAGAGGCTTTGGAGATACAAAATAATTAATTATTCAAATTGGTATTTTTCTTAAAAAAGGAGATCTTAATATCCTTACCATCTTCAAAAACTGCATGCTCTTTCTAAAACATTCTTTCAGTTTTCACACTGGATGCTGTTTATTACTCATTATTTAAGTTCCCCTTAATGACCAAGCAATATTCTTCAAAAAACGCTGTCTTAAACGTTACTAATTTAAATGATTACCATTATAATTGCTTCCCTTTTTGAGTTACAACATCCGACCAACGCCCTTTACGAGACATTCGGTAACTGACATCCATCTGTCGAGTAATTAATTGTAATTTGGAGCTGGAATCTGCAGGAATTACTTATAGAACAAAGTTGAAGAACATTTGAAGCACGCGAGAAGTCATTCGCTCTGTTCAGACGGCCTGCTGGTACCACTCAAGTCAACAGTTAACCTAATGAACCTTCCCTACATATTTTTGGTTTACGTGTAAGAATTTGCTCTGGAATTCTCGTTCTTCAAACTGAACTGATGTAACAATACAGGGTGAATTAAAGTTGTGATTTTACTCTGTAGCTTGAAAAACAATTAAGTTGCAAATACCAGCAAATATTATTTAGATTGACGGATTTGGTGCACTCATTCTCAATTTTTAATTGTTACACCCGGTGTTTTATAACGGAATTATATTATATATCATTCCTCGTTACTGTTCTAAGCATGCAGTTAAAAGTCAATTAAGTGTGAATACTTATCACTTTCAGCTCCAAACACTCAGGCTCGAGCAGTGATAATTAGCCGAAATGTAAATAAGATTAAATAAATTTAATAACCTGCATCTGATAAAATGTACGGCACAAAATCGAATACCAGAGAGTTCACTTTTGCTGCCGAAAATGGAAATTGTTATGATTATGTAGATATTATAATTATGGGATTTTATGTATTTGTCAATGAAAATGATAGGAAATAGGTAGTAAATGCAGTTTTCTTCGAATAATCGCAATGATTTCCACAGAAAAATGTAACTAAGCCTGGCATATTGTACACTTAAATTTGTATTTCTAATTTATCTGAATCAAAACTATTTATACCATATAAATACGAGATCTAATATACATTTATAGACTTATTTATTTGGTGGTAATAATTGGTCTTCTGAGGTAGCTAATCCGACTTCATTTAAATTAGACCTGAGGCTAACATATTTTGGAATCAGTGGCTAGATTTGCATTAGAATTTTAACGTAATTTTAATGTAATTTTTTTGTCAAATCTCAACAAAACTTCGCCTTGCATAGATTTACATCAGCAGCAGAAAAAATGTGACAATATATTCAATACACTTCAAACATTTCGCTTTTAATAATGATTAATTCTACTGAATCGAAAGTTTGCATTTACAAAGTACTATTTGCGATAAAACCAAAGTTATTTGCACTTTTCGCTGCAAGAGTCGAGATCGTTTTAACCACGATACTAACACTAACGACTTTTTGCGAATACTTGAATTTACTATACACTTTGGTAAATGTATAGTAAATTCCACCTTTTTATTAAGATCTCAAGCGACAAATAGTTGCAAATATTATCTGCAGAGGTAAACTCTGCATGCCTTTCCCCACATATAAGTACATATAGTTTTCATTACACTCAAATTAATAATTCATTGATTACTTAAATTGCAAATAATTTATATGTTGTACATAAGATTACAATCCTGCTAGTTACAAGTTCAAAGCATTAAAAATTGTGTATCATTACTCATCGGTCTATCGAAACTAAAGCTATTTTTCATCAATCTATATCAGGTGGTTCTGGAAATGGAAATGCCTGTCAAAGCTTGATTATCATATAAATGAAATTAATTAAAAGCAGTTTCAGTGAAGTCGGGGCAACTTTATATGGACATGCTGGTATAAAAATACAAAGAACAAGTCGAATAGATTAATGTCACAAATTCAATTGAATTAATAAGGCTCCTAAATATTACAGGGTTGCATTTTTTATCTGGAATGTCTCAACAGCAGTTTTTCTAATTATACGTGCCATATATCAATTATAATGTTCCTTTATGAAGCCATTGTCCCCCACCCACATGCAACAATTTAACACAAGCACAGCATTAGATTAACACTTTCGTTATTTATCATCGGAAATGAAAATCAGAATATGCAGTTGCAGATTATTCAGTTTCAGTTATACTGGGATCGATTTAAATTACCACAAAAGGAAACTTTAATGAGTCACATAATCAGACCAATACATAACTGAAACAAATCTGTTATGTTGCAGTCTAATAACTGAAAATATATTTACGTCTGCTGCGAGCTGATTGGTGGTATTTCATTTTAAAGTGGGTTTCAAAATATGCCGAGTGTTCCATTAGTTGTGTTTATAGCATATTAATGTAAATCTCGTGCTTAGATAAATCTTTAAAAAATTCATAGTTGTGTCTTTCTTAGGAAGATATGGACCTCTATTGAAGTCGGTGAGAATTTAAATGACTGTTTAGTTCTGCAGGATCGGACCAACTTTAGCACGCCAGGCCGATGCTATCCGTTTATTAAAAACACTATTATTAAAAAAAAACTAGATTACCAGAAGATGTCTCAAAATTAAGTATCTGCTACGGCATGCTAAGTATTAGTGTAAAAATTAATATTTTATAACACTAAAAAGACTCACAATGTCGCATTTTCATCGTACATATTAAACAGTTTGAACGTCTTCTTTTGGATGAAAAGGCTTTTAACTAAGTAAAAATTTGGTCGAGAGTGTTAAGAACCATTTTTAACCACCACATTTCGAATTAACCATGATTTATTTTTAACTACAAATCAACGATTTTTATTGTCTGAATTCAATAAGAAAGATAATTGGGTTTTATATTGGAAATAGCTAAAAACGGTCGCAAGGCGCATTTTGATAGAACTTTTCATAAATCTCAAGATCACAGATTTATGACAAAATTCTTCCAGCAGATCTAAGAATGGTCAATACAGCATTCAATTGGTCAATTTCAATCAATGATACATCGGAAACGACAACTTGTGTACTTAAGACAATACGAACGATAAATTTCTTGTATTTTAAACAGAGTTGTAGTAACATTCATCTTTCGTACGAACCTAAAAAATATACACCAAGAAGAGCCATGCGACATTTAAATGAATGATCCTTTGCTGAAGACTGAAAAAGTCGTTTGCACATAAATCCAGCATTATCATATCAAGTCGTGACAATTGTTGAATTATTCATGAAATTTGAAATCGACGTCGAAGCACAAACGGTCATTATTGAGAAAAGGCCGTTTGCTTAAACCAGGCACAACGGTGTAAACAAATTATGGGCTTCTGGTTTTTCAGGCAGATCACGCTAACAATGCTTCTACAACATACAATAAATTGTAAAAAGCATTGACCTCTGGGAACATGCATTCTTGCGTATGCGGCTAAGCCCTAGCCTATTGCGTGAGGTCATAGAAGTTGGAAACATACTTTTTTCATGAAATGCTTGAAAATGCGAAGTTACGAAGTAAAACCTTGTTACTGGCTATAATTTACTTTGATAATTACTATTATTGAATGCATTAAACATTTTCTCCATTTATGAATTTAGACCTAATTTTATTTTACTTGTTTCAGGATCAATATGATAACTTGTCAATACACACACTGAAAGGGATCGATTTCTTAGAAAGATATGGGCATTTTGTGAGGGATCGAGCCACAATAGAATCTGAATATGCATATAAGTTGAGGTAAGGATTATATTATGCATACATTGAACGGTTTTCCATACAATACAACTCAGGGTTGAATTGTCAGTATATTCCAAATAGGACCACTTACCAAATATATTGCGAATAAATTCTATTGTGAATACTTAATAAAGAATGCATATCAATCAGCATGTCGCAGAGAAAATAATACTAAATGAAATTCACGAGTGTTGTTAATGTTAAAACATTAACAAATCCCTTCTTGGAGATTGTTTAAACTTGGAGATTTTTTAAAAACATGAAAAATTTTGTATTCTGAATAAGGCAACCTTCAGTGATGATAGGTGGACATCCTTAATAAGACGGTACATTAATATGAATCTTCGAGTTATATGAATAAATTAACCACCAACAATCGTGCTGTTTTCCAATTGAAAGAAAGAAGCAATTACCACTGCATAACTACATGGCGCAATTATAAAAGTTTTTTCATACAGGTCAGTTCCTATGCAATGAAGCAATTAGTTGAAAACCGTGAGCCAATAAAGAACTTGATTTAAGCGTTCTGAAACAACAAAATTATTTCAAATATGTTGACCTTCACGTTTGGTCTTAACCGTTGAAACCATTCTCTTCAGCTCCACCATATTAATAATGCTATTTGATATGTAGATAAAGGAATGGACCTTTCAGACAGCTATTTGTACTGTTTTACTTGAAACTGTTAAAGTTCCATATTTCTTGTTAGTAATCTTTATTTAAATAACACGAAACATGACTTACTCCGAGGTGGCTCATAGGTATGTTCCAACACACTGACTGATAAAGAATCTCAAAGAGTTGGGTTTTTGCAAGAGATGTATTAACCAATTAGAGTGCAACCTCTTTGAAATGTGTGTATTGCAATCTGACATAGATATTCGTAACATTGAAATGTACTTAGATCGAGGTGAGTTAACGACTCTGATTAAGAAATGCGTAACGCATTGAATGTTTTATTGATATATAAACAGTCATAATGATAGATAATTTAATGAATCTATCATTACTGGAACGTAATCAAGTAAATTTGGTATCTTGTTGAAGTAGTATTTATTAACTTGGAAGTTTTAAATGCAACTAAATTAAACCTAAACGTATCATAAAGAGAATAAATAACCACCAACTCATACTATTAATGAGTCATAAAATACGCGGTTTTTTACTACAGAAAGGTGATCCAAGTCAAGTTTACCTATCTAAACAATGAAGGGAATGTGAAACCCCACGTATAGTGGAAATGTTATTTTTTGTGATTTCCCACAAATGTATAAAAGGTTGTGTAACAGCAAATTGTTTGGTACATTAGATAGTTTGATACAAAATAGATAAAAGATAAAAACATAACTAAAACGCTTTCAAATACAGTATAGAAAAAGCCAATTTTTGTTTCCAGCCCGTCAATAACCACTGGTTCTATTGACCCTTTTATATCGCCTCATTAACAAACAACTGGGAATTCAACTATACGAAGTGTTGTATGTTAAAGAGTGCGTTTTTAATAGTTCAATTGGTCCACTTGAGCATTACTAATTATGTCATAGATAAAGTGAAAAGTAAGTACCAATGAGTACTCACACCCATATAATGACTGCTGAAACCGCAACCTGTAGAAAGATGTATTGTTGTTTAGTGGACCAGCGTTTTTATCTTTTTGCTTATCCTTGATGGTTGTTGATATTGTAGGTATATGCCATTTTGAAACTATAATGTGCATGCTGCCATTCATTCGAAGAAACCATTTAACGTGACACGTAACAACTAAATTCTCATGGTTACCTTGTTGGTAAAAAAGCAAAGACTTGTCTACGGTCGCTGACACTATGAATCGATTTCGCTTTATATTTTCGCAATCTATTCGGTTAAGAACAATGCATAAGCCTGTTGTCGAGATTTAAAATCACTGATGTTTTGTTGGGAAATATCGAGTACTTGAACTACTTGTTACGTGTCTTAACACCTACCACTTGCCAGTTTCGCGAATCGAAGCCTATTTTTCTGTATATGACATGCCAGCTTCCGCCTAAGTTGCGAAACTTATACAGCTTGAAGTTAAAAAGAACTATGATTGAACAGAGTTTGGAGCTTGGTTTGGGCCAAATTGACTTCTAAACTTGTCGCAACTTCGGGCAACTTTCAACTGCCCTATTTTAAGTTTTAACGCGATATGTCTCCAAACCGTTCATGTGAAGATGGTTATTAATGTGAAAAGCGAATCCATGCTTTATGCAACAAGCCAGCCTATTTATCCCGGCGATGTGTCTTATTACTTGATTACCTACCAGATAGTTTGTGGGTGTTTGAAAACCAGAAACGAGAAATCTTCAATCTGAGTATACCATTAAGCTCGTTTACGGCAATAAAATGTCGCAGGAATAATGAAAGTTGAGGTATTTTAAGTGATTCAGTCAGATCTTCAGCAATACGCCGGTTGCTAGAATTATTACTGGCATTATTAACGTTTTGCAATTCTCATTCAGTCAAAGGACTGAATGTGTATGTACTTGTACCAAGTACAATTTAATATTAGTCACATTGAAAAACCTCAAAACATGTAATCTGTTGATCGGATACTTGAAAAATCTGTAATTATATACCTAATTTAATTGTATTTTGATTTCCTTAGTCTCGTTAATCTCGATTTATGGCCAAATCTTAACAATCTGACCTCATTGTTTGAAGCGTTAGGCCATTGCCGATAAACTTCTTTGTTAATGCACCAGATTTATTTATATACGTCTATCTGTCTTATGCTTTATTGTATACTTAATTACATACTGATGGCAAATTTATTGACTATAATAATTATATTTCCATTAAATCGTGATAAGGCGTGCGTGCTCCTCATAATGAGCGCACATTATAGGAATGCGTAGAATTTGAATGTTCTATCAATTGAATGATAGAAAGTTATTTTTACATAATAACAGGAAAGCCGTCAAATAACAGCCTATTTTATCCAAATTAATGTCCTTATTTTCTTCAATTTAAATCAAACAAAAGTGTGCTATTGTAAAGATACTTTAATTATTTAAAGTTTTTTTAAATATTTTTTTACTTGAAAATATGTTTTGTACGTTTCATAAGTATAGGATTAGTTATGTTGTTGCAGAATGTTTAACGATGTAGGATTATAAAAATAAAAACAAATGCAAGTCTATATTTAAGTATATTGAAATTATGCACGGGAAATGAGCATCAGCAAAACTAGCTTTACAGGGCGCGTTCTATAAGGATATTTTGCCTTAGCGAAGCGTTTTAGACAGGGTGTTGAAATTTGAAAAAAATATTTATTTTTATTAATATGTAGAAAATGCTTCAAACTATTTTAATTCATTTTTGACTTCGTTTCTAATCAAACTGGGCATGTTTTGGATCAACTACAATTGTTGTTTGCGAAAACTTGTCGTTCACTTCAGCTCGCCTATTGAATGTTAGGTACTATGCGTATAGTTGTTGTCTTTCTTTATCCTAACTAATTCTAATTTATTTCTTTTGTCTAACTGCACGTACTTCAAAATAATTTATTTTCAGACAAAGTTGCATAGTATTTTTTAGCTGCTTGCCCCAAAATGTTCGAAATTACATTTGTAAAAAAACCTCCGAGTGGTTTTGTAATGTATTAAACTAATCAATTGCAATTAGTACAAAATATGTCTGGTTTAGCGTGAACAACAAACAGTGATTTAAAATTTTCATTGAAACCGCGACTAAAGTGTTTTTGAGATATTAATATAAACGAACTATTTTTTACATATTTGAAAATGTATTCCCTCAATCTCGAAATGTATTGGTATGTTTATAAACACGATAAAAATAGTTGCTTCATATATCTTTTCACTCTTAAAAGTGTGACGCTACATTTATGGAATATAATATATATATTTTATTCTCTCATACTTAAGTGAAATGCTATTGAGAAATAATTCCAATCCCTCAGAATTAATTTTGTCCTCTTTGTAAATACCTGTATAGTTTATGCGCAAAAAGTAATGTTTCCTCGTCATTTACCAATTTTACACTCAATTCAAGTGCCAATAAAAATATGTAACGGATAGAATTTAATTTCGATTTATTAAATTATTTTGATTAACGCGCCAATAATGTAAACACGTACTCAAGAAAGACAAATGTACATTGAAAGTGGATGATCATTGAGACTGATCGTTTATGAGGAGTCTAAACGACCGTTTCTCATAAACAAAATTTACAAAATACGTTTCAATGTGCGCCATTTTACTGAACGCCTAATTGAAAACTGCGATTGAAATTAATTTGAGCGCTACTCAACATTTATGGATCATTTGGACTTACGAATTGAATCAATTCCTCCTACCAAGTAAAAAGTTATGCAAGTCTATGTACCAAGATAGCTTCATCAAAATATGATTCTTACGTAGGAGCAAATCATTACAAAAACGATTGTTTGGAGACAAAATAGACTTCAATAGCAGAGAAGCCATACCTTTTTTTCCGAGAATGCCGCACTACCATTCCATGTTCCTGTCTATAAAATGTGATGCGGGTTTTATAAAAATATTTGATTAAATATATGCAAATAAAATAATAACTTTAGTAAAGCAGTTCATTTTTTACACCTTTAATGGCATTAATTAGCACTGCACGTCTCATAAATATTTTTAAAAGCATTATACCAAGAGAGAGCCAAATAAAAGTAACTGTTCCAGTTCCTATAATGATTTCAGTCATCTGTGGTAATGCAAACTATAGTTGATGAGCATAATTAATAAGCTGGCTTTCACTTTATTTTAACGAGAATTAATAATTATTGAAATGGCAAATATGACTATTTCTCATTATATCGTCGAGTGTATTTTAAATCATCTAACTAGTTCACTGAAAAACATTCTTCATTTGTCAGTTAAGTGGTATTTAACAGGCTGTTTTACTTGCAAGTCAAAACTGTCTTAAATTTGCACATTTTAATGAAGGCACGTTCGAATTTCACCTGAATGTGTAAACAGTATGGTAATTTGTTACTCCATAATCGAAAACATCGTCATTTTTATGTAACACCATGTGGCACTTACAAGAGAAATTTTACTTTCGTTTTTTGCATTGATAAAGGGTGTTTATGGCTGTTTGTCTGAAGAGTCTTCGTAGTAAATGGTAAAATTTATTTTTTTGTTACAGACGTTTAGTGAAAAATTACCAACCCAAGAAGAAAGACGAGGAAGATTACCAGTAAGTATGGCTATTAACTGTTTCTTTTCCTAGTCTGATAATTTAACAATTTATTGGGGGAGCGCACTGAGTTAAAGTATAAAAATTAACCCGTGTTGATTTCAAAATTTAACAATCTAAAAATGTTCTAATCTATGCAGAGTGTAGAATATCACTTACATAACTAACTTCTATAGTTTTAAACATTTAAACGCTATTGGGTAGATAAATGCAACAAAATATTTTCAAAATGGTCGAGAGTACGGATAAGTACAAGCTTTTGACAATTGTTTAGTAGTTTGTATTTTTGTATTTTGTTTTAAATGTTGTACATATTTTTATTGTGGTTATAAGTAGGAGTCATACGTTTCCTCCTTTTGGGTTGCCTGGAAAGATTAATAGTGGGTTGCTCATGTGTTTTTCTCAGCAAAAGTTAAGAACCTGGGGAGATGCCCAATGATCTTAATTTAATCCAAAGGTCCGCTGATTAGATAATCAGAGAGTTTCGGTATTGATTGTATAGCAACATATGTTATTGGAGTCTTTTTTTTCAATAACAACCTAAATCGCGGACGTATTCACCTGTTCTCCTTTTTACGAATCGATGAATGAACAGCTATTCACTGCATTTTTTTCTGATTATAATACTAAATACAAACAGAATTAAAATATTTCGTTTCAATGTTTTTCGAGCTTCCACTTTGCATTTATCCGATCCAGAAAGGTTGCGGATTTTAGTGAATGTCTCGCCCCTAGCATAAACTCCCAAACCAAATTTAACTCGAAATCAATTCAAAAAATTTATATAAATATGTAATATACAGAGCGATTGAAGGTTTAATCGGGAAGATGAAAGAAATGATAGAACTCAGTAGAAAAGTTCAATATTCAAACTAATAATATATAATATTCAAACTTGATAATAAGAAAATGTGTTTTGTTTTTTTTTATGATAACTCCTAAAGTTTGTGAACTATTTACTTCAAAGTTGAAACATGGGTGCTGTGGTCTATAGGTATATTTCAAGATGTCGAAGGATTGTAAATTTATGCAGACAAATATTTTGTTGTTGTTGTTTGTTGGTTAATGTGTGTAACTTTATACATCGATCCTATTCTCCTGATAAGAAAGAGTTGTTAATTGGCCAGCTACATTTCCTGACCTCGATTCTTGTGACTTTCTTTGGAGATGTCTACCCATTTTTTCGAACTGGGAGGATATGAAGTAAAGAAATATTACTGCAATCGCTACAAGGAGGTTCATATAGACCATTAGAAATATTCCTCAAGAAAAATAGGCATTAATAGATAGACGAAGTTAGTCATTCATAAATCCTGATTTGTTTGCGAGCAACATTGATTTCTCTCGATCGGCGATTCTTGAATGAAAAATGGGTGGTAGGGAGAAGAGTAGTTAAATTTCTATGAATTTTTTAGTTTTACATTACAATCGTTTTACTAGACTAAACAAGTAAGTATAACAGAATACATTCTTGGCCACTGTTTGCCTGATATTTTGCCGTCGATGCTACTCATATATCAAATTGATTACCAAGCCTGCAAAACAGTCCACAACTTCCACATACTGTAAATTGCCTCATAGAAAAAAGTAAACAAATGCCTCTGTTTAATCAAAATAAAAAATTAGGTTTTCAGCTCAATTTGATTATTTTGTTTGGTAAATTGAACAGCTTTGTGTAATTAAAAAATACGATTATCTTTGTTGTGGATCCTTATTCAAAAGTGTTGATATATTCATAAACTGTGTGCTACCAAAAATTCTTTCAAATCAATACAGAAAATGAATCTTGAAAAATATGTTTTGGTCATAGGAATTTTATTTTGAATCTGAGTATTATTCAAAGTACAAGACAGAAATACTAAAAACTACATCCATAACAGTCTTTATTTGTGTCCGATCTAAGATAACTTACTTCATTGACTCACACTGTAAAATCAAGTGTGGTAGAAGTAAGAAGGAACCAATCTTGACCCTAATGTAGTACGGTTTTTATATTTGTTATCCTGAAATTACAATTACCTGTTTATCAAAGCTTTTTCAGTCCATATTACAGTAATTTATAAACTGTCGACACGCTGGGTAACTATCTAATAAATAAGTTATATTTGTTGGTAGACATAATAAAAGCAATGTTCCGGATTTTCGAATAATACACCGTTAAATTAATATATCTGTTTGAAAATCGAATTATGAATGCTGCCATAATACGGTCACTTGCAAAGAAACTAGGTCTCTGAAATGTGTTCTTGTTGTCTTTCTGCTGTTGGGTTTTCCCCATTTCTTATCACTTTGATATTAAATCTGCCTATATTTATCCATGCAACCGATTAAACGTATCCGTTTGGACCGTTCGATAACCCACGGAAAACCTGGACACACATATAAAATGAAGTGGGTGTTTAATGAAGTGTTCGCAACTAAAAATAATGCCTTTCCGCTAAAAATACTAAAACATTGGCTACTTACTTTGTAGAATTTTAGAGAACTGTTTTTTGCCCTCGATTTGTTTATTAATTCTCAGCTGTATTTTAACAACAATGTGGCTACATTTATTTGAGATTGGAACTTTGTCGCTTAAAAATAACGTCTTTATTAATAGTTCACTGCATCTAATTGTTGAAGGGAGCTCAAGCCATTACCAATGAATAGTTTCGTTTAATACGCAAATATAAATGTTAAATAACATTCGCTTATCATTCAAAATTGAAAATATTTAAAATATTATTTAGTTTGTTTAATCGGGTTTCCAAAAAAGTGCAGCGCTGTAACCGTGATTTGTGGATGGAAAATAAGTGCAAACTGGTATGAATATTCCAGCGTAGATATATGGTTTTTACTTGTTATGGCACCTAATGTAGTAGTTTTATGGATAAAATTCTGCTTATTCTGTTAATTTTGTGTAATTTTCTAGAAGCAGCAGTAGTTTAAGTACTACGTGATACATTAAGGAGACAATCATCTTTACAACTGATGGTTTATGTAGTCGTTTATAATCACAAAATTCACACCAGCGTAATAAATTTACATTATTAGTCCAACTTAGTTCATCAATAATTAGAAAACGTTTTTTTAGTTCACATCATTTCAAATAATCAACGTCTTTGAGACTTGAAATTAAACCAGCATTTGAGTAGGAATAACTGATTGTTGATTGAAAGTGATAAACACTGTAAGTGGATTCCCATACTATTTTTTATTAAAAATGCTTTAAAAATTACATTAGGACAAAATAAATTGGTATGTAATACAACGTACCGTTAAATTGCCAGAAAAATAGGCTCCTAAACACAACTGAAACAAATTATAAATTATTTCTACTTTAGTATATGAATAATACTTAACTTCATTAAAAGGACTGTAAGCTTTAAGGTACTACTAAAATGACCCCATACATGTTTAAGGTAGTAGAAAGTAAAATATCACACCGATATGCTTATAACATAATTTGTTCATGTCAAGTAATAGCACACTGAATTAATTAAAACCGTATTAGTGTTAATTTGACTATTATAATCAGTGAAAGCATTTTGGATATATTTTTCACTTACTTTCGTATACTTGACGGGAAGTTCATACAATCATACTCATTGATTAAAACGTACAGCCGTTTACGTTATGGCCGTATAAATATACTTATTGGAGCGGATCAGATTATTCATTAGAATAACTGATGTGTTTGAAATCAGCAACACCGAAGGGAAAAGTATTATTTAAAGAATCAGGAAACTACTAATTATGCAAAGGTTTTTCTACTTCTAACCGTTTTAAAGGGGATTTTGCTTCCGATAAATCTACATGTATTTTTTATACTAAAATCTTACAAATTGGAAATTTTGTACGCTTATGGGACTAAAGATGCTCGATTTAAAGAAATAATTTTCAAGTTTCTAACACTTTCGGCGGAATCTTACTAATATAACTACGTTGGAATTGCGAGCAGTGCTTAAAATATTTGAGATTTTTCGTAAAGTTTAACGTTTAAGTTACAAGAGAGAAATAAAAAAAATTAAAACTGGGATGTCGAAAAATTAAGCTTCAGCTTCAATTTCATTTAATAGCTTTAACAACGTTTTTCAAGCGGAAAGCTACACTTTTATTAACTTTATCACGCTCTCTATCAAATGATACATAAAAATGTTATACAAAATGTATTATGTTAAAATAATATATTTATTATAAATTTAAACATGATAAACAGAAAAAGGCTATCGACCCAGTCCGTCTTTCTGCCCTTGTATAGTGTGTGTCTTAGCCTAGCTTATTCTAAAATTAATTCCTATTACTAACACTCGTATAAATTAATCAGCGATGAAAAAATTCTTATCTTGCAAAACAAACAGATCTTAGTCCTTAGTTCAGTTGCGTTTGTAGTATTGTATTTTTCATAATTGTTTTATAACTTCAACGTTCAACTCCAAGCAATTTAATTTTTTATTTTTTTTCTTAAAAATTTAATTACAGCGACGTTCTAAGTGCTACGGATAAATCAGGAGTTCAGTGGCTTGTTTGCTTGTGTTTTTATGCAAAGTAAATGCATAGTTGCGGATTTACCAGGAAATTCCAAAGTTTATTATAAATTAGGAAAATTATGCATATTAGGCAAGCAAGGGGAATTACCATACAACTTGCATACTCTTTTTAACATTTTTAACGCACTTCTTGATGGAAAACACAGGAAAGATAACAAAATTGTGGGTTTTCCTTTAAAAAACACTTAGCTTCATTCGTTTAAATCAAGTCAAGGCGTAAGCTTGATTGTTCACACGTAGTTTTGTATTTAGAATAGAACAGATAAGAAAGAATAGAAATACAGAAATAAACATAAAAAAATTAAACATTAGCGTGGATAAGTTTATGCAAGAAGGACTAGAACATAAAAAAACGCCATATTTTAAGACAAAAATACAGGTTTTTATAGTCAACCTTCTATTTTCATTCATGGGTAACTATTCCTATATATTCGCAACAAATGCATTTCTTTGAAATTATTTATTGTACTGCACCCAAAGCCCACCAAAACACTTGCAACTTCCCTCTTTAAAAGTTCAAAAGCGCATAACTTTTTACGGGCAACTGAATCATTATAAACATAAAGCAATCGATTATGCGCTTACATTTTCATTAAAAGTACATAGATACTTGTCGGAAGTAGTCAAAAGAAATTGGTAATAATAGAATCAATACAACTTCGAAGTAACTTCATTAATAATCAGAAAGGAAGGATATTTAAATAAACTTTCGAGGCTCATATGCGAATATATTAACTATTACAGAAAAAGCAACTTAGTTATCCTGGATTTGACGTTGAGATTATTCTTAATACTGATTTGCTAAATTTAGGATCCGGGGAAACCAGTCAAACACTAATGGGAAATTTCTGAAAAACGTTGCAGCATACAGATGTTTGCAAATGTTTTTATTTTAAAAAATATGCTTAAAATTTAACTGATTTCTTCAAATCTTGTAATGATGTTAAACATGCGTTTATTTTCTAAATTTCACTGTCGAAACTAATGAACCAATCACCTGTTTTTCCTTTGGCCGTGACACAACAGTCAACATTTTTTTGTATATGAAAATATTGCACTACAAATATAAAGTGCAAAGCGTTTATGAATTGCGCCACTGCATCTAAAGTGACATAATAAACGCAATCGGTTTCGATTTCAGTAAAATCAAGTGTGAAAAATCTAATTATTGCCTGACCAATGAAGGTCAAAGAGTTTTGCGCTTTCTTGGAAAACCGCAAATTTTACGCTTCCTGCGGTAGATTAATTAGATCCTTGACTCAATTAGTAAATACTGTTTTCCATGTGGAAATGCAATTACAGTAAACTCACTGGCTCTGAAATTTAATTAAAATATACTAGGTGGTTCAATATTGCCAATGGAAATATTGTTTTTGTGGAAGCTTTAGTATTATTCTGGGAAAATTTAACCGGAAAATTGCAAGTAAGCAGAACATTTATCAACGTTTTAAGCAATTGTTTTTAATTATTATTTTGTCTCGATGATAACTGTGCCGCAATATAATGTTCGCTAATTCCTATCGCATTTAACAAATTAATTTCAATTCTATATTTTGGATAAAAGTAAAAAGACAACCACTCCTCGTAACCTATTTGGTTTTGGTTACCAAATTATGTTCATACATACTAGTAAAATGTACAAAGCATGCTCTGAACTGAGTGCTAAAGTTGACTTAAAATATAATTTTCACATTAAGCTAGGGTGCGCCCAGAATGTGTATAATAATAGCAAAGCGACCACTTTACTAATTTACTGGGGAAAATGTGTTTTTTACATCGCTCATTTCCGGTAAGGGATTATCGCAAAACTTTTTATACGCGTAAATTAGTGATATTGCATTGGATAGACTAACCGCTAGCACATCACTCCTTATCAGAGAAACCATTTAGGCTTGTTTATTTTGGCTATAAAGACTATATGGGGCACATACACAACTGAGCAACGGTTTACAAGATTAATACAAATTTTGATATGTGAACTTATCTAAACGCTCAAAAAAATGAAAGTTGCACGGCCAAATAGGTCTAACTTTGGAATTGGATAAATTCTGTTTGCGTCAAGCGATTTGGGTTTGTAGCGTTCTCTAGCCTCATTTGGTTTTGTGAGTCAGCGTTTTAGTAAAAATATGCATCTCAGATAAATTTTCTATAGGGTGGCAACTGCAAACATGCATTTTTTCGAAAAGTCGACTTGTTCCTAGCTGGACCAAAAATTTGTTTTTTGTATCTTAACACCAAAAGTTTATTTCCATCCCTTCTATTTGCAGGGTGGTCTCAAAAATCAACTTTTTCATCTTGCAGTGATAATTTTTCTGGTTTTGGTCCAATTTTTACGATCTTCAGCTCATGCTGAAACTGAAACTCCATAGACAATTTAAGACGAAAATTCGATAAACAGGGTTGCATAAAAATGACCCACATCAGAATTGCCCCCGAAATATGTGGGTCTGGAAGATGGTATTTTCAAATTTTGTTTACAAGCAAAGTGGGAAGCGCACAACTTCAATAGCTAATATATTCGAGAAAAAATTCCTGATTCAAAATAAGGCCCAGTAACTCTTTAGGACACCAATTTTTATCACCCTGTACTTTGTAAAAAAAACATAATTGTTGGTACTGTAATCAACCAACTCGACCTGGCTGCATTTTGTGATATAATTACACCTTTATGGTGGATTAGATCATACCGATTAAGGAAAAGGATTATGATTGTGGAATGGAAAAGTAAATAATGTAATCAGCTGAACAGTTCTGCAAAACCAATTTAATTATATTTTTCTGTTGGTTTTATTTTCATATTCATTCACAATTTATCTTTTTACAAAGTTATTTTACGATATTCAAGAAATCGCTGATTATGTACAGCACTGCTAGTAATGCTTGTCTGGATGCTAAATCTATCGTGATTTGTGGGTAAATCTATCGGTATTTAAATTGGTGCCTTTTACATCCTTTTTGCACTTCTGTCTGTACTGAATCTTCGGTACAAAAACTTCTAGTTTCTTATAGATTGACTTACCCAATAACAATAATTATACATTGCACGTATTGTTTTTCTTAAAATTTCAAAGTTATTTACTTAATAGTTCYTTTCCTTAATCATTACTAGTAGTCATGACATTAAACCTACAACTAATACTCTACTTTRTTCTGCCTCTATAATACTTAGTCCAAAAAAATTTTGGCGSCTTTTTTWCSTAAAACTTGGGGCAATTTGTTGAATTATTTGAAACCGCCGATATTTAAAGAGAAATTCTTCATTTTGAACTCTGTAAAGCTGTTTGGAATTTTGAAGTATTTCCTTCTTTTTTTAATTTACACGCTTCGTTCCATTCTTTTTGAAAAGTGTTTATACATTTTTTTCAAAACCATTTRCTGTATGCAATAGAAAATGCCAAAGTATCTATGAATATTTTATGKCTTTTTAATCCAATGCCAACAAGSTGTTTTTACCATAATATTAAACTAGCACGAAATAAAAAGGGTCGCTTTGTAAGACATATCTACTAGAAAAACAAGAATAATTTAAATACTAATGTGTAGTTATTGGTCTGAATGCATTTGCGTTTTTATATTGTTGAAAGTTCCGCAATAATAACATACTTTTATTCCTTCCTCCAGTCACTCAAGTCCTAACGGGTAATTAGATTTTCCAATTTCAATCATATAACTGTTCTTTTGGCGCACACAGAAACTCGATGATTTGTTTTCAATCATAAAAATCACGTTACCTAAACAGGAAACATTTTCGCTTTTAAAATCACCGACACGGCCAATAAAAAAAACAGGCTAATTTTAATTGCAAACCATATAAAACCCAGGACGCAGTGTATCATCCTCGGCCCAAATGCAGAGTTTTGTTTGCTGAAAATTGCCTTTTTGTTGCAGGTTTACGTCATGTAGGGCTTTCAAGGCTCTGATGACTGAAATAAATGATATGGCAGGACAGCATGAGGTCGTGGCTGAAGATTTACAAGCAAATGTGATAAGGGAGCTTACTGCTTTAGTTAAGGACTTACGGGAAGAACGGAAGGTATTTCACGTTTAAACGCTGATTTTTAATATAAAGCATATCTCTAGATAAGAACGGACTCTTCTGTCTATCTAATAAATGACAACCGTAGTTTTATTCTATGCATACTTTTTTTATATAGAAACAATTGCAAGAGGGCCAGAGACTGTCACAATCATTACAAACGCAAATAGAATCTTTGCAAAGGGCGAAAAAAGCGTATGACAAGGCTTTCAAAGAGGCTGAAAAAGCCATTGACGGATTCCAGAAAGCAGATGCTGACTTTAACTTGTCCAGAGCTGAGGTGAGCAATGACAAAACATGTAGTATTTTGAGATAATCTTTTTGTTTATTCCAGGTTGAAAAGCATCGTGCCAACATGGCTCACAAGACTCAAACATGCGACCAAGCCAAAAACGAATACGCTGTACAACTTCAACAAACCAATCAACTTCAAAGACAACACTTCCGATCTGGTCTTCCTGAGGTGTTTCGGCAGCTGCAAGACCTCGATGAAAAACGGATAAAGAACATAAAGAATTTTATTAAGGGTAGTGTTGAATTAGAAAGGAACGTGTTTCCCATTATCAATAAGTGTCTCGATGGGGTTCTAAAAGCGGCGGACATTATAAACGAAAAGGAGGTTGGTTGAGATACCAGGCTTTCATCTAGTCAATATGCAGAAGTTCTTGTTTGCTTTCAGGACACGCTGTTGGTTATAGAGAAATATAAATCGGGTTTCCAACCTCCAGAGGACTTTCCATTTGAAGATCTCTCTAAAGGTGGTAGTGACTCGGGTAGTGCTAATAATTTGAACAATATACAGTTAGGAAGCAAGATCAAAGATGGTGGTTACACAGTCAAGGGTACCATAACGGGCAAAGCAATGAAGAAACGTGCAGGCATATTTAATATTTTTGGAAGTCGAGGGGTGAGTACCTTAGAGTTGCCTGTACCTAAAAAAATGCAACAATGTTCTAATTATAAGTATACAGTGCGGTTACAATGAAAGAAATTTATTTAAAATTTAGTCAGAACTTTTAAGAAAGACTTTTGGGTACCTACGACAATTGTAATGTAAATGCGCATATTTGGCAAATTCTTTTATAAACTGATAAATATTTTTAGATTACTTCCACATACATATTATAATACGGCACAAATAAGGAATTCGATAAGGGTTGGTTTTAATCCAAGATATTTCATTTTAAAGTAAATACCAAACCTCATAATAAAACTGGCAATATTGGAGAATAAGATGGAAAATGATACAAAAGCATTCCATTGGCATATTTAAACATTTTTTTTTATTTGCTTACACCTTTACACACGGGAGAAAATTAAATATCCTCGTTGTTCTGAATCGTCCCAGACAATAACCGCATTATGTAAAAACTGTGCTCATTTTAACAAGCGAACTCCTCCTGGCACTAGATTATTTTTCTATTAAAAGGTTTTTTATTGATCTGAGCCTCTCTTCAAAAATAGACCCAAAATACTAATTTTTCTATGTAAAAAGTCAATTTTTAAAAGTTCTAGTTTTGTCACGAGCTAATTTTTTGCTTGGTTTTGTTCTAGAGATATGGGGTTTTCTAGAAATGCATTAATATTTACTTATTCGGTTCCTATTTAAATTTAATGGTAGAAAGACTAGAGCCCGAACAGTGTGATTACAATTTGATATTTATTTGAAAAAAAGATTATAAAGTCGTTACAAATAGCGCAACATTTTTTCACTTGGTGGTCAAGCATCAAGGATGCAATTCTTTGTATTGTTGATAAATTCCGAATAATTTTTATGATGATAACGATCGTTACGCCCTCATGTTAATTGAATTGAAGTTATTAAATTGACATACATTTACTTTGAACATGTTCTTACCTTATACATATCTGGGCCCGGAATGTTTTACTTTACTGTGTAGGGGACACGTATATTTCGAAGAAAACGCATTTATCAGAGAAGGATTGATGGATTTATAATAAACGGTTTTTGAGACAAGCAGAGTACGCAACAAAACGTGTATTTTATTTTATGCAACTCTTTGAAATAGATTTACTTGTACCCAATTCACTGTTAGGAATATGGGGTGATATTTTAGGCCACACGATCTTGTAAAAGATTTTCGCAAATGAAAATTAAGATAATTATCTGAAGAATCTAGGCTCCATAATGCTCATGTAATCATTAACTCAATAGCCATGATCTTGAGTAAGATGACAGAGTAAGTCTAAAAATACTCAAGGCAACATTGCCCGAAACGTCCCTTTTTGTGTGCAGATGACGAATATTAATAAATAAAATATTAGATAAAGTCTTCATAAGTTATCCAAAAATTGGATTATATACTTGTCCGATTGAAAAATTCATTTCTCGGATGCCTTGCTTATTAAACCTAATTTACATAAAATGTACATCTAATAAAAGTACTAATTAACGTCGTAGTGTTTTTCTAAAAAGTAAAAAAAAAGTAAATTTATTTCTTTCATCATGAACGCCCGAATATATAGTTATCCCCTGAAGATTATTACAGTAACGTAAATTATTTCCTTGTAGAGCATTTTACTGCTTTGGCATGATTGATAAATTGATTGTTTATCTTTTTTTCTGAGCAATATTTTACCAAGATAATTTTCTGGTCTTGTATAGCTATGATATTTAAAATATGCAAATATATTTAAAAAGTGCAAATACATTGGAGCTTGATCAATCCATTATTTCCACTTGGTGCTTGGCTGCGTGGTAAAATACGGCTCAAAAATGTTCAAGTAATTTTTCTCTTAGGTTCATTTGAGTAATTTTGTTTTTTTATTTTCTACTTACCTTTGGCGATGCCCTTGTATGTTATGGTCCGATGTTTGATAGTAAGTAAAATTTGCAATATGAAATTGGCATGCATTTTGCGAGTGTGCACGACTTAACAAAACATCTCCCAATGTTCGTGTATTAAACCCACAATTTTTTATTGAAAAGATTGAATTTTAAGTTAGGTGAATTTTCACTGCTATAATTATTGAATAGAAATAATGTATTGTGCAACTTTTTGGTTAAACAAAGGAACAAAGAGCACATCAAGTCAAACTTTAATGATGCTAAAACAGAAAATTCTTAGATATTGAAAAATATATCTTTTGTTAACTATGTGAAAGCTGAAATTAACTGGCGATTATCGTTCGTGAATGCAACAATATACACATCATTATCTCACGAAACATTGATTGCAAAATTAATAGATTGATTAAGATATATGAACAATTCCGACATTGTTCTAAAGATTGAATGAGTTTGCATTATGTATTTTAACGTAACATTTTAAACATTCGCATAAAAGTATTTATTTGAAAATATATTAGCTTGTCGGGTGCATGAAACGCAAACGCTCGTTGTTCCCAGAGGAAATACGCTTGGCAAGTGTTAAGAATCTAAACACCTGCATGGTCGAATTTTTCAAGTACATAGTCACATCCGACCTTATTCTTCACAACTTAGCTAATGCTTTCTATTATTTTCATGCAACTCAGAAGCTTACAGAAGTCTGTATGGCAATAAAGGTATGTGCTTTCACGTCGCTTCAACGTGCATCGATGTTGTGTCCCACATCAACTCTCATCGAATAATTTATATTATTTTTAAATGGCATATTTCTAGTTTTTGGCATGGCTATTGAGAAAACGTTTCCATTTTCTCAACCCGTCTCAATAGGAAAATTGTTCTCAAGCTAAAATAAACTCTTCAAAAGTCACAAAGTGCATATATGAATAACGATGTTCAGTAACAGTTACTGGTGAATTTGATATTTAATTAGTATTTGAAGATTACCAGTAATTATATGCCTGTGGTTCTCATTTAATGTGCATTTTACAAATTAACTTCCTCATTTATTATTAAGTCTATTAAAGTGTTGTACCCATTGTTTTTTGTTAATACCCACATTTATTGCATTTGTTTACATGTGATGACAAATCAGGATTTTAGAAATGTCCGCTCACTAGTCGGTTTTAATGGTTCAAGTTTCCGTATAAAATCAGGCGGAGAAACTTGTTCAATATAAGCAATGTTTATTAAACATGTACTGAACATGTTTGTTGGCGATTAATATACTTGTTGATGTCAGTCAAATAATGAAAAGTTTTAGCTAGGAATGGTAACATTTGGGAATATTAGATACCGAAGTTAGAAACTGAAGGCTAAAGTTGGTTTTAACGTGAACCAACTTTGAGATATTGTGCACAGTTAATAGTGATTTGGTTAATTGAATCTCATAAAAATGGATAGCAAATTAATGCAGTAATATATCTACACAATTTAATTATTTTTAAGCAGCGTATGAAAAAAGACCCCAAATAAACAGTACTGTAAGGAGTTTGTAAACCTGTCAATGTAAACAGAAAAAACCGAAAAAAACTATAATTCGTACTTATAATAATGCACATAGACTGCAATATTATGTCCGTGTTGCTTTTAAAACCATTATCTCAAGAAAGAATTTCCCTAAAAAATCATTATGTTTATTTTAATTATAGCACAAATTGTTCTATTACAATATACACCTTTTTTATGTGAAAAAATCAACGAAATTTACTACAAACGAGATAAAAAACATATTATCCAACATAGATTGTTTTTTATAATAATAGGACAAAAGTGGTAAAAAACGAATGTACGAAAAATTTGAATTTTTAAAAGTATTTATTAATATATTAGTATATAAAAGAAAAAAACCGAGCAAAACATAACAATAGCAAAAAAATAGTAGTAGTAGTGAAAACTGAGTAACACAAGGAAGTCATTATCAAAAGTATTTTATGTTGTTTTCCTTTACCTAATCCTTTTCCTTTACCTAATGTTTTCTCTAGTCAAACGAGATATTTTTTGTAATAAAGTGTGTTTATTGTATTCAATATACACACTTTATTACAAAAAATTGCTTGTTTGATTGGATTTTGTTCTGTGTGTACACATCTGCTTCCACACTTTCAAATGTTTTCTGTTAAATTCTATTTTATTTATTAATTGTTATTATCTATTTATTATATTATTTATCACATTGAACAAAAGCTATGCGTTTATTCCTAATCTGGCTCATAATCCTTTAGTGAGCGGACATTTTTTTCTAAATTATGCAAACTTCTATAATGTAATCTTTTTAGAATGCTGCAATTGCTGATGGAAAGGAGGATCTTAGTGAACTTCCACCGAATCAAAGAAGAAAAAAGTTGATGCAAAAAATTGAGGAATTGAAGACAAAAGTGACGCAAGAAACAGCTGCTCGAGATGGACTCATGAAAATGAAAGGCGTCTACGAAGGCAATCCTGCATTAGGTGATCCTAGAACAATTGAGAGTAAGTTGACTTCTTTGGTTCGAAATTTATTTTCAAAAGAATTTTCCAATTAACAATATCGCAATTGCAAAATCTAAAATCTACAAATTATATGTAGGTATTATGTAATTTTAGCATGAATCCGGGCACGTATTCGGATAAATACAATTGCAATATGAGTCAGAAAAAATCGCTACACACAAAAACCTTAATAACTTACGAACTCTTGACAAAATGAAACAAAAAGCGTTTTAAAAATGATTTTATGACGACTAATTAAAAAAAAACTGAGTTGAAATATGTTTTGACGAAAATGTTTGATTTTCTCTGTCTCTTTCCATCGACTTTATGCAGCTGCAGAATTTCACTTTACTTTCAATTCTGGTAGAGTTTTAGCTTCTTACACCATTGCGAAACTGCTACCCGTGCAATTGTTTAGAAAATCTCTCTTAGTTTTAAGCGACAGATAATTTAGGAAACGATTCTAGAATAAGTGAGACTATAAATGGTAATAATTTCAGCACGTTTATTGTGTTGAAAAGTTTGATTTTATCAGCGTATCATGCTGTTCTAGAGTTTTGCTGGTTCTCGAAGGCTCTTCGCTCATTTATTGATTCCTGCTTGCGGAATTGCGTTTTGTCAATTTAACTGCGGGATACACACAAAAAGTATACAAATTTAGTTACCATTTTATTTAAGAATGTTCCTGTGAAAAATGCTGGTGAAAATTAACATTTTTAATAAAAGAGTCGAGAGAAGTCTCTCGACTAATGTCTGGGTCTTTGTGAGTAATGTATTCATTCGTATTGTTATATTTTAGGTCAATTGAACGAATGTAGCCATAGACTAGAAAAACTTCAACAGGACCTTGTTAGATATCAGGGCTATTTAGATGAAGTGGTTAAAGGTATTCAGTCAGGTAAATATGGGGATGGTAAATTTGCTTATTTTTCATATCGCTGTAGGATAATTAATTAGCTTGCTCTAATAATAGTCGACATGTAACATATTTTTTAGAACCTGTTTAACAACAATTTCACGATTTCAGGTAATCTAACAAATTCTGTAACCGGCAGTCCAAGATTGCTCAATGGAAGTTCCCGCATTCACAGAAACAGCGGTGGAAGTGCCGCAGAAGAAAACAGTCTTAGCAGGTAGGTCGATATTTTTGTAGAAGATATTCTTCTAATTTAACTAGATGTTGGGTTATTTTACCCACTACTTGTTTGTACAGAGTGCTCGAGAAAACGTGTATAATACGGAGCGGTAGATAATTTTCGAGTTTGTCACAATTTTATTGAACTCTTAGATCGATTTAGGCTCTTTATTGCATACTTAAACCTTTCGGTTGTATTTTGGCGCTCTGGAAAGAAACAGAGTACCTTTAGATTTTGGGCATTAGAATCGGATTAAACGGTAATTCAATGAAACATATTTTTTTAATTATAAAAGTGTAGAGATTTTGTAGTATTCTACCTTTTAGATTCTTGACTCAAGTCGAGTCGATTGATTTATTAGCAAACCGAAAAGTACACCATTGTTGCAACTTCTTAGATATTCCAGGATTTCGATCAGTAACAAACTTCAGCATTTGCGTACATGGTTTCTTTCTGAACAATGTCTGCCATTTGCAACCAAAGTTTCGCTAGCATTCGTAACAAGCGTTATCATTGTTTGGATAATAACGAAAAACATTTTAAACAGTTAAATAAGAACAATAAAAGTATAATATTCTATTCCATTTTTGTATTCGCTCGAATGTGATCTTAGTTATGTCAATCTCATATTTGAAGGTTGCGATTAGAAAGTATATCTCAGAAAAAAATTTATATATTTTTAATAAAACTGCGGCGTAACTGACCACTCATTCAACAAACTACACTGCATTCAATTTTCACACTTAACTTGCCCCTCATTACGTATTAATGAGGAATGTTGAAAAAAAAATATCAAAACGATTATACCTTCCTTGAGTATACGATATTGATCGTGCATATCTTAAGTTGGCTTAATCGATCTATTTTGAGCTCAAGCTGTTTTAAGTGTTATATACGTTATTTTAGGCACTGTGTATAATTATAATTTACGCTGAGGATAAGTTTGAGTACCATGAAAACATAACAGGTCAAGCTTCGCTAGGTAATAATAGAATGAGCGATGTAACTAAAGTTTCTGCGGATGATTTTTTTCAAAGTTCACTACTTTGTTTGATTAATATCACAGCGAAGTGTTTCGTTTGAATGGGAATTATCGTGGATACGGTTGGACTTTGTATTCGTAATGAACTCGTCTTGTATTGGTGCAAGTTTACACCTTCAAATTGCTTCTATGCCAGATGGAAATGCCGAGTGATTCACCGTTTAATGGTGTTTCTCCCTCTTAGGTCTGCCAGTGATAGTAGCGTAACAAATACCACCTTAAACAATATTAAAAGAAGCGCCCCTGGCACGCCCCAATTAAATCATGGGTATGTAGTCGTTTGTATATAAATGTTGTATTGCTTCCTGGTTCCTGTGGTAGCTTGTTCATGTAGCTGAGTTCGCAAAACTGAGTCAAGTTCTCGTGCATCTATCGCAAACATAGATCTTTTTCTTTGTGTTTCTGTCATTACCCATCTCGTCCTGCTTGTCAGAATCACGGCTCCTTAAACCTCACCATTGTGGCTCTCTCTTCCTCCGCTTTCGTTTAATTCGACCGTATTTGACGTAGTTGTTCAAACAGTCCCGAAAGTGGCCTGGGAACTTCGCACACGTCTTTGCATCATGCCGACTCGGATCAGGACCAATACGATGGAAATCATGCGGATCCCGAAAGCGAATACTACGAGGCAGATGTGTTGCCTGCCATCGGGATTTGTCGGGCATTGTACGCCTTCGAAGGTACGTTCTGTAAGTATTCGAGGGTGAGGCTCTTTTTCATTAATACACGTAGTTAGTTTTCATTAATGCACAACTTTTGCTTTCGATAATTTTCACTTGTGATTGCTTGATTGTTAATCGTGCTTGCCAATTGTCAAGTTTCGGAGTTGCTAAATTTGTTGTCTGTGCAAGAAGATCCAAAATGTACATCATTTTAACTGGCTATACTTCGAGTAAAAATAAAACTAAAACTTCATAACAACGTAGGTCGCAAACACTTCGTTGACGAGATACATGGTTTCAGTTTTTATCTGCATCATGCAGTTATGAGATATTGAAAATTAAATTGCAGCGAACTTAATAATATCAGTATCTGAATCTGCAACGTGTATTTTTTATATGTTTATTGTTATTGTTATATGTTTTTATATGTCACTTTTATGCTATTGGTTTCTTATTCCTAAACATGTTTATTCTAAGTTCATTTTGGAAGCTTTTTGCCTTTTGGAACGTTTTCGTATCCGATATAGTTTTCGAGTTCCTGGATGATGTGAACTATCTATGATTTCATATACTGAGAAATGGCACATTTGAAAAGAAAGTTATAATAAAGCAACCAAAAATATTGCAACAGAACATTTCAAATAACAAAACTAAGCGCAGTTTAAGATAACATGGTTTCAAATAATATCGCGCTGCAAATGTCTCTGGTAAACCACGCGTTTTCCTGTGGTTATATGAATTTTCGTCTTATTTTTGCTCGAAGAATATGCACTTAAAATTGTGCAACCTAATTTCGGATCCGCTTGTATAGAGTCTGTCAGAGTTGAACTAGCAAAAGTCCTTGGGAAATTCGGCACAGCAAAATAAAGAAAAAGTTTATTCAGATGAACATGGGAAGCAAGTGCTTTGTTTTAGAAGTTTGTTTTTTAAATTAAGACCTTGAAGGCATGAGCCGATTTGAATCAAAACGACTGTTTACTAAAACAATATTTATCCCAACTTTGCGGAGTACTCATCGAATAAGGAGGTTGCTTAGGCCACCCTACAGCTTTTATGTAAATTTGTATTCCGAATATAAACGTTAAGAGAGACGAGATCAAATTAAGACCATGCTCATACACCTTTTTCTCTATTTTGCTGAGTTGGATTGCCTCTGAGCTTTTGGAATTTAAAACAACTCAGAACACCCTGTATATACTTTTTTATGTTTCAAATCAATATTGAAGGAGAGAAATGTGAATTGTTCTACGCAACGTTTCTTGACACGATTTTTAAGTTAGAAGAACTGCATAATTAGGTTAATACCAGAATTTAATTATAAGGTTGTACTATTACAACCGAGTTACCAGAGTCGGCAAATATTTATTATTTCATTTGATTTGTCTGATTAATTATAATAAATACTTAGTTCAAAATGACGGGCTAAAGGAATCATTCGCATTTCCTCCTAGTTGTGCTATGGCTCTGGTGTTGTTTCTCAGCTTTGCGCTTTTTCCTTCTAAACGAGTGGCGTGTAAGAACGTTTTCATGCATTAAAGCTGATAATATTTATCAGATTTGTATTGCTCGCATACCACTCTATTCACATTTTTAATTTTCTCGTTTCATCTTGACCCAGAGCCTCTCGGATTTCGAACATGTTTTGTAGATCAAAAATTGTTTCATATTGTTTTATTTAGCTGCAAGCGAAGGTAGTATACCAATGGCCCAAGACGAAGAGCTACATTTGATTGAAGTCGACCAAGGCGATGGATGGACGAGGGTACGAAGGATAAACGGTGAATTCGAAGAAGGTTTCGTACCCACCACGTATATAGAAACTTCACTCTTCAATACTTAAACTCAAAATACGTTGAGATGCAATATTAGTGACAGCATAACAGTATGCGTTAAGTGGGGACAACTATTCAATTCTTTACAGTTGGTCGATGAAGAAGTTCCGACTTTTCTCCTAGGACAACTTTCTGAAGCCATTTAGCAGGAAATACATTTTTTCGCTCTCTTTATATAATAAGGAAATGAAAATAAGCATTTCCTATTTAAAGATTTTTTTGTTGAGTAGTTCTGGAATCAATTCGTCAACTGTAAATATCGGAAGTTAGTTCATCACGTTTACAATATCAAACATTTTACCGGTAGCCCACTTAATTTTATTGCCCTGGGTTCAATGAGACTTTTTCGAAGTGTATTATATTAGTGCATAGTTGAAATGATTTGCCTTGATTATCCCGAACAACATGATCAAAATTGTATTAGTCGAAGGCATTTTTTAGTTAAAAGCGGATTTAATAGCTTGCTTGAACAAACTTGTTTATTTGTATAAAGAGATGCGCTATATGCTTTTGCCTAGCACAATTAGGAATTAAATCGTAGTCAAAATAGTATTTGAGATATTTCCACTAAGTCAAAAGCAGTGCAAAAATGTATAAGCTAACATTTATCCTGTTAGATCTTCCAACCGTGTATTTTCGTCTAGTAAATAACCATCATCCATGATTATGGTCTTAACCAATTAAAAGCTCTGGACCATATTTCATTACGTTTCCTTATTATTTTCTATAGATATGGTATAGATGGTCTGTTAATTAAAAATAAAATTTAGAGTAGCTACTCATTTTTTTTAGTAAACTGTTTAGAAATCTTAAAGCATAATAGAAAATGTAAAAAGACTAGTTGAAAGATCGCATATACATGTGCTTTAATTGTTGCAACATTCAGTGCGCAAGGATGTTTATTGTCTATGAAGTGTCTAGAATATTGAAAATATTTTTTTTGTGGAAAAACCTAGCATTTAACACCCAGGAAAATATTGTAATTAAACAAAATTGTATTTTTATTTACTTAATGGTTACTTTAATCCGTCCTCTATTTTTCTTTTCGTACTGGTACATTTAGGCACCTCATAGAAAAGTTTATGTAAATATGTGCTCATTATAATTCTTATTTTTAATGGATATTTTTTTTATGTTTGTAACATACCTTCGTAGTTTAATATTTAAATTCTATTTTATAAACTTTTTATATAGTCATTTACCTATTTTTATTGCCATTTGGGTATTTTTCAAATAAAAGATGCCAAATTCAATAGATGAAAGAAGAAACACCTTCATGTAATCACATTTCGGCTTTCGTAAATAAAAAATGGAGAAAACTTGCCAAATTTTTATCACCAACGCAATCAAGAATTTTTAACTGTTTAAACTAACAACGATGCATCAACCACATTACTTTTGCAGTTAAAAAATCGCGTAAGCTGCTGGAAGAATACTAATTAATAACATAATAAGTATCATTATGTATCTGCACAGCAGGGTGAGAAATACGGTTTGTTTTGAAAACCTTTTACAATAATAATTGCATCTTTGGTTATTGATGGTATCATGTAGTTTGAATTGCTTATATAATATGTACTTGAATTATTTATCATAATCGGCAAACTTTAATTTGTCATTCCATATCATTTCAAGTCAAGCTATTTCATTGCAAATTAGCCTTAGAACATAAAACCCATTTTCTTTCAACACCTTTTTGTGTATTACATATTGATTGCCTATTGATTGTACTTGCAATAATGGAAGAGAAGGTGTACAAACATAAAATAGGACCTAATATTAACTAATCGAAAACATACATAAATAGGAACATCTTCTTTTGCATAGATTTGCAAATATGAAAGTTAACGTTTAATCTAAGAAAATCTATTTCTCAATATCTTAAGATTGACCATCTACTGCTCCAATTATTGAAATAGTCTGTGTTTGCAAATGACTGAACTTGTATAAAATATACTATATTATACCTGAACTATTGTTTTAGTGTTGAAAGTAAACAATATGGTATGGTGGGTGTGGTGTCTAATAATATTTAAAAGATTACCTTGCTTCAACGTCCAATACTGTTTCTTGAGAGAAATAATACAAAGCGATTGATTAAAAATGGACAACTTCTAAATTGGAACAATACGTATCAAATAATGAATCCATCATTAACAGGGCAGATTTATACACGGCATATAAGCTTAAACACTTTGGTGTGTAGCTTCTTCATTTTAGATATTGGAACGCGGCCACTCAAATTGACTCGACTACTGTGGCGTTTTTCTAAATATAAAAAAGAAAAAAGTTTGAAGTATATTATATATTTCAATACAAAAGTTTCTTCTGTATAAATTTGCTTTTAAAAAGTGAGTACAAAAATTCTATTTAGGGTTTAGGGCCGTACAAAAATACGGCCGCATAAAGGCCACCCTATAAGTCTTATGTTTTGTATTACATTAAAATTAAGAACATAAAAATACGGATCGATATTACATAAATGTATCATTGGTGATATAAATAAAACATCGTTAATTCCGATAATACTTTTTAACATTTTTTTCTAACACCTAAATATATTAATTTTGATTTCGACGTACCCTTAAACACATACAAAAACAACTTTACCGACCTAATCGTCGCATGTTATTCTACCTGGGATTAGAAACACGGATACAGGCTAGCTGTAAAATCAAAGTCTGTTGTTTTTGTACGTAGATTAAGAAGCGTAAATATATGAATAACAAACGAAAACGATTTTTCACAACGGATAAAAACACTACTTTTTTCAACATAAAGTGTTAATAAATAACTTTCACAAGACTATCTATAACAATAGTCTTTCAACTTATTTTCTTGTAGTTTCACTACTGTATTCATAAATCAACATCTATAGGAGAAGATTCTTTTGCCATGACAATTCATTGGTTAGCGATATGGCAAAAGTAATTTAAAATGTCCGATCAATGACAAAAAAATCTTCCCTTTTCAATATATTGGAATGAACGTTTTTTGCAGAACTACTGTAGGATGGACTGCTAAAATTTTATACAAAAATCATTTTAATCACCTTGAGAATGAAAAGAAACAGTACAACCTACATTCAATATTCAACTAGCCCCGGGAAAATTTGCGATTAGAAAATACAGGATAGTTCAGGAGAGGTATCAAAAGAAATGTATTTAGCTCTAAAAACAAAATTATTTAATTCCCCGTCCAGAAGTTGACATCCTGTATCGCGAAATACAAAGTTACATTTTTAAGTAAGGTTTTTTTATATTTTGAAAGGAGCCGAAAACATTTGTATCATGTCATGAGATTTAAAAAAACCGGTAGATCTCTTCTCCAATTGAATTTATACAGAAAAATTACTTTTGGTCGATGCTTCGGACAAATGAACCGCCTTTTACGAGATTAAGCAGCAAAGTCAGCATGGACTTATAATATTGCAATAAGGCTGGTTTCGGAACGATTTGACAGCATTAATAATCGTATGACTTTTTTAACGCGACCAAACGCAAAAATCTATTGGGTTAAATCAGGACTTCGGACCGGCTAACCCCAATACTCGGATGAGACTTGTTTAATTGAAAACAGTCACTGATATTAACATTTTTTGTAAATAATACTAATTCTTGAACCATCCCGTATTTTTGTGGTATAGGCATTTAATGCCCGCAAAATTATATTTTCCTATTTACGAATGGAATTTGATTTGGAATAGCACAACTTTGGGTCGTATTCCTGAACACTTACTAAGTAAACCCTGTATATCGGCGTTGAAAATGATTGAGGTATAAACGGACTAAAGTTGTGCTTATCCAAATGACACAGAGCAAATAAACTATTTGCCCAATTACTTATGGGAAGTCAATTCAAGATACACACTAAAGCGATTCGACTACAAAATCATGGTGATTCCTTCTTAAGTCACTGCACATCCTTTGAAATCAACAAATGGACAAGATGACATAATCATTATATAACAAATATAAATATAGCCCGATAAATGTAGAATCAAGAATATGAAAATAAAAACTTAAAAATATATTTACATCATCAATCGCTTGAATAAAAAACGTCGAAAGATTAATTGTTCCCATCTATAAATCAAGTACGCTTATTTCGTCATCTATGGCCAGTAAGTAAGTATCCAATTATATGCGGAAATTTCAAAATATACAAATAATATTGTGCATGAACACACTGGGAATGGTTAGGGTAGATACTGATTTATCAATGGTCTCATACAACCTTAAAGCATCAGAAAAGAGCATGCTTACTACCACCGTATAATTACATACTTCTATGTAATTCAGACTTTTAGAGAATATGGCGGCTTAAGGCCATACCAATATGCGCTAATGATCCAAGAACAACCATAAACTCTATTGGGGTAAGTTTCATATTATTTCAGATATTTATCTGAACGTAAGCGCAAATATATATTTTTTAAATTAATTGGGAACCTTCCGACGCCACAGAAAGGTCAGATTTATTGACCAGTGCCTCCTTATAAAAAAATTAAGAAACACAAAAAGCGTCCAAGATTTGTAAAATGAGTCAAGATGTCTCGCTATCGCAATCGCTTCGATCCAGATATTAAAAAGTATAACTACAAGAAATTTGGAAAAATGAACAKAGTAMTRAAATCATTGGCGGCAAATAAAGAATATATCTCTAAATATTTTAAATTTTTTGAATTTAGGTACCCAACGACGGCCTAAAAACCCSATTAGTCACTAGAATAATAAGTATTTTATCGTGTAAGCAAMATTTATTATTCAATTCAGTCGKATTTTTTGTTGAGTGCTTATGTGTTCAASARTAYGTTTTAATATACTTTTGACAACTATCAATATCAGCGAATAGAAGTGAAACTGAAAGGAAACTTGATTATCTGTCAGTCGTCTACGCGTTTTTACTGTAAATGTTAAATCAAGTACAAAAAATAGTTTAAGTGAAATAAATTGCTTAATTAGTTTAAAATCTAAATTGTTAACTTCTAAATTACAATTTTAAGATAATTGTTTTATCAAACATAATTCCACTAGTTTGAGAATCTAAATGTATGTATTGGTTTCTGAATGGCAGTTTTTATTATCATTATTTGCAGCCTATGAACCTAAGCACCTCATAAAAATTACATTTTAGCACATGCATTACTGACGTTTKATATAAAAATTATTATTATTCTAGTGTCTRCAAGTGATATAAAATTCTAATCTTAGGYAGAATTGAAACCTGAAATCATATATGTACAATGCGAACTGTATACCCTATTTTCAAAATAGCTTTAATTACAGTKTGTCACATAAAGATCGAAKCGGTTCACGAGGGAACACCTTAACTTGCACTGCCACACAAAGAAATTTGGAGTTTCCAATAAACTAAAATATTTTTTTAAGTCAATAAAACACATTTTAAATGATTGCGATCAGCAGCTTAACGTATATGAAAGTAGATGACAAGTGAATAGGCGCTAACCGGCATAAGTACGTAAAATCTGCCTTAACCTAGGAAATAAAATAAAAATTAAGCGAAATACTGTCTGTTTAAGTATGAGCCCGCCACCGTAAGCTTAGAATGGGCAACTATGGCAACAGTTAGATTAATCATATTGCTTCTCTGCGAAACCAAAAAGTCCGCAATGTACCCTAATGTAACGTATAGTACAGGTATGTGCATTTTGGAATGCCAATTTTGATGGAGTTGGTGGATAATGGAGAGTCAAACGTTTTCTATACTATTGTTAAAACAATAAAAAAATAAAAAAATCCCTACTGCAAATAATGATAGGAACTTTTCAATAGCTAGAACGCTTACCGTTTACCTCTGAATCACACCGATCGTTCTACAACGAAAGCTGGATAATATCTTGAGAACGAATTTGATCTGGCTGAACCGAATAGCCCTAACTGTTGCCCAAATTCTTGACCCTAAGGCACAATGAAGTCTGTAATGTTTCAGTGGTCTCCTCTCAGGAGTTCCATTAGGAGATTAAAACTGGGACCTTCGCCCTCCTTTTTTATTGTTAGCATTTCTTTGCCCACCTGAAACATATAAGTAATATAAGACATTATGCAAGGCTTTTAATTTAATTTTCAAAATATCTTACTTGGCACGTGCGCTGCAATTCAGGTATTCGCAATAGTAACTCTCCGAATTTTGATGGACTTTCCGGGTAGTGCGACAAGGTGTAATCTTGGAGTGCTTTTAGAGCTTTTTCTTGCGAAACACGCACTTTTTCGGCTTCTCGGAGTTCGGAAGTGTCTATAAATAAAATGAATATTAAATAGCCTTTGGTTGCTGTTGAGTAGCGTTTGAAAGAATTGAATTAAATAAATCGCATTATTCGATCATCGAAATCACGATCATCGGAAATAAGTTTCACATTTGCGTAGTGACAGAAGCGAAAACCAACAAGCACTTGTACGATGCATTATAAATAGAAAATGGACAATGAAAAAATATGTTTTTGACCTTGTCCGAAGATTCTGAGGATGAAAAAGTGTGACAAAAACATTCAATATAATACACCTACAAGGGTAGAGATGTACAGGGTTATTGATTGAACTTTGGCCACCCCGTTTTTGCATCTAATTTGAAATTTAGAGAAAAATGTTAAATACAAAAGTTGTAGATATTAACGTCTAGTTTATTTTAAGATAATACCTATTGATACAGGGTGTCTCAAGTTCAAGTGGCAGACCAAACTTATTTTTTTATAAATGGAATGCCCGAATATTTAAATGGTTATTAACTCAAAAACAGTTGAAGATCAATATAGAAAATTTATATCTAAGAGGACTGAAATTTTGCGTGTAGTTCGAGTATGAAATAAAAAGTGGGCTATTCCATTTAAAAAAATGTAAGTTTGTACCGCCACTTGAGTTTGACACACCCTGTATCAATTATTATTATCTTACAATAAACTAGACGTTAATACCTAAAACTTTTGTATTTAATATTTTTCTCTAAATTTCAAAGTAGATGTTAAAACGAGCTGGCCAAAATTCAATTAATATTGGTTATTAACTTAAAAACAGTTGAAAATCATTATA